CCCTAACAAGCTGTAAAGGGGGAGTAATGAGGACCGTTTCCGGACGCATCGATCAACCCCATCCAAGCGATGTTTCCAACACAAGTACTCCGAACCACGGAATTTTCACGTCACGACTTCAATACAGCGTTGGTTGCCGTTGTTGTTTGGTTCAACACGGTTGCCCTTACAATGCAAGAGTTTTGAGCGCAAGAACTTCTAATGCATAAACTCCCACGCGACAGCAAGTCTAACTATAACGCATTTGCGCGGGATTACTTTCTATATGCGACAAAATTTCTAACACAAAACTTCTACACGACACTGATTTTAATGCAGTAACTTATAACGTGTAAACATCTGCGTGACAGAAGTGTTAACGCAAAGACTTCTACACGACATCACTTCAGCACCAGAAATGTTTTAACGCAAAAGCTTACCCGCGACATTTCTTCTAACGCAAGGACTTATGCAGAACCTTCTAACTCAGCGAACTTTTAACACAAGAACTTCCGCACGACATTACTTGCACGCGACAAGACTTCTACCACATAAACTTGTACTCGATCCGCTTCTTATGCAAACTTTTTTCTAACGCATAAACCTATATGCAACAAAGGTATCGTGCAACTCTTTTACACGCAGTTTTTATTCATGTGATTAAAGGTCTAACGCAAAACGTTATGCACAACATTGCGTCTTATGCAAAAGCTTCTAACGCATAAAATCATCCAATGCAAACCTTTCATACTTGCCTCTGGTGTCACGTGAGCTGCTAAACAGCAAGACATCAACACAGCCAGGGCTAGATACAAGGGGCTCTGGGGGCTTAGCTCCCTTCATGGATCGGAGGCCCCGTCGCTTGACCCCTGATGCCCGAAAGGCTCGTAGGGCTAACCGGGGTTTTGGGGCCTCTGGAGCATTATCGGGCGCTGTCTGTCAGTAAGAGGTCCCAAAACTTATAAGGTGACCCCGATACTTAACGGGAAACCGATGCTGGGCAGCTACCTATATGCCAAACAGTATCATTAGCGAAACCGAAGCGCGTCGGAGAGCCTTCTTCGGCGTCGCTCAGGGGCTCCTGATTTATTCAGGGGCCCCTCTACCGACCATGGCGTCCCGGCACTATAACTGAACAAGAACAGGGCTATGACCCTCGAATGCCAGTAATGGGGCCCACAACTGCTTCACTCGGGGCCCCTGAGGCAAAGGGAAACCCCTCTCTCGACTTTGGAGCCCCTCTCTTGACCTGGGAGTACCTCCCTCGACCTGAGAATCCCTCTCGCGACCTGGGAACCCCTTTCTTGACCTGGGAGCCCCTCTCTCGACCTAGAAGTCCTTCTCTCGACCTGGGAGACCCTCTCGCGACAGAGGACCCTCTCTCTTGACCTGGGAGTTCCTCTCTCGACCTGGGAGCCTTCTCTAGACCTGGGAGTTCCAGAGTTACTGAGCAGGATCTCTCCTACCATGCCAGACGGAGGCTTCTGTGTCAGCCATGGGGTCTATTAGCCGAATAAAGAAGTGGTAAGTGTTCAAGAATGTCGATGACAGAGCCTCCTGCGTCACGCGGATGACTTTGAGACAGCGGCGTGGTTTCCGATTCAGTTGTCAGTGCTCCAGTCCGACCCCCCCCCTCAGCCCCAATTTGGGCTCCAGCACGCAAAAATTTTAAAAAGCAACTATGCCAGATCCGGAGAAAGCTATATTTGTCGGCTATTGGGAAGGGAGACGTCACTTCCTGGTTCTGACCAACAGTAAAACGTTGGAAGTGGTAGTGAGAAGAGAATCCCAGAAGTGAAAAAGGAGGGCTAGGCCTTGCAGAGGCGGTGAGAGAGCTCTGTCGGTGAGAAACGCTAAGGTCCAGACTTTGGAACACACTCCCCGTACCTTAAATGGGAGTCCATTCACGTTATTCCGGTTAGACGTTCTGGGGTCAAAAATTTTGTCGCCCAGCAGTTCATGCATTAGAAAATCTTGTGTCAGAAGCAATGTCGCGTATAATTCTTTGCGTTAGAAGTTTTACCGCGTAGAAGCTTAAGCGTTTAAAGCCTATGCGTCAGAAAGTTTTGCATTACAGCTTTTCACGTTCGAAGTTCTCGAATCAGAAGTTTTCACTTCAAATGTTTTGTCGCCTGAGAGTGATTACACGTAGAAGTTTTGTTTCATAGAAGTTTATGAGTTATAGTCTTTTGCATTAGAATGAAGGGCGCGTTGAATTTTTGGGTTAGAGGCTTTGTTGTGTAGAAATAAAGGCACGTATAAGTTTTTGTGTTAGAAGTGGATTCTATGTGGATTCACTCAAGGTCCGTATCCCGAAGACCTTCAAGTGTTGGGCAAAAGCATTAGTGCCCCCGTAAATCGGCAGGTACTGAGTGGGGCACACATTTTTGGGAAAACTGCAAGCAGGGTGGTGAGTATCGGTTGTTCGCGAAGATGACCCCCTTTGACATTTCGCGAAGATGCTTCAGTAAATATCACACGTGATGATGAGCTTCGATTCAATAAACTGGAATGAGCCACATCCATGCTAATTTTGAAATTATTGACATAAAAGGTGGCCACCCAGATATAAATCTGTAGTTTTGTATCCTAATCCAAGATTAAGGCCTTTGAAAATGAGGATGAAGGGGAAACGCGTATTTGAATGCAAGTGGAAAGGGATGGGTAGATGCTGAATACAGCTAAAAGGAGCTGGCAAGTGAATGCGTATGGCCACAGCCTGACTGGTAGCGATAATTTAGTCAAGGAGACCTTACCCGCCAAGGCCTCTACTTTGCTCACGGCACGTCCACGTGGGCGGATGCCGGTGCAGCTCCCGCGCCAAATCTAGATAAAATGGCGCCAAACACCCGAACCTCGCCTCCGCACCGTGAGAGAACGCCACCGAAGCTTCCGGGGGGGGGGGGGGGGGCAGATAGCCGTGCAGCGCACGGACTTGCACAGTCACTCCTCGTGATGAAGTGCGTGTCAAGTCCACAGGTGCAACTGTCGCAGAGTCTGTGGCTGGGAGGATGCGCTGGTTCCAATGTCATCCCCTCTAAGGAGGCGGGCTTATCCGTGCATCAAGTCAAGACAAATCCCCTCTCAGCGTTCTCCGATCGTCAAAATGGCGATGAGATGACCTAAAAATTTCAGACCAATGTTGCAGAGCCAACAGAAGGTCTTACGGCGTGCATCGTCGGTTGCTGATCTTGGAGCTTTCCCTGGAGTCTCAACTGTCACAGGTCTGCCCTGGCAAAACGGGCGAGCAGCCAGGCCACCCAGCCAGCCCCAGACGAGTCCTGCCCAAACACACCGGACCAACCAATGCAAACATCGCCTCGAGAGCAGCAGGGTCACAAGATCCATCAAATGCTTGTTCAATATTACGGTGACATCGACGCAATGTGGAATGCATGACAATGCAATTCTCTGAATGTCACGGTATGAAGTGAGAGGCAAATATAATATTTTGGAGGACTTCACAAGTCAGACAAGGACTATTACTTACACGAGTGAAAAGGCAGCTACGGAGCCCTCGGAGATATTTGCCGCTCTTCGTCAGTATGTGGAGTTGATAACCAAGGGAAAGACGTCAAAGCTGTGAAAGACAAGACAGTAGTATTGGCCTTATTCTTCGGTAAAAACCAGGAGAATGAAGATATAGTTAGGTTAACATTTCAGCAGTATGCCTTTATCGAAACAATAGCGGAATTAAATTCAGCGTTCAAAGCTGCAGCGTTCAAAGCTGTCCAAGTCTTGAACGCTGCAGCGATGAAACAGCCGGTACAAAATATATGACAAAACATGCACACAAAGATCACCAAAGGATGTCTCTACGGGTGCCAAGCCATACGCGGGGAGAGACAGCGCAGCATGAGGAAAGGGTGCAGCTATGTATGTGGTCACACTTGACATGTACCCTGCAGATGGAGGGAGGTGGCGGGGCTAGTGGTTCTGTCGGCATTTTGTTGAGCGAACACAGCATGGACACATGACATGTAACCATCTGTACCGAAGGCGGGTGCCCGAGCTCTGTTTCACACTGGCTTCACTTGGCGGGCGGTAATCATGCCCTGACGGCCGGTGGCGCGGGTGTAGACCAGCACCAGTAGCATGCGGCGCTGTGAGCCGGATCCTCGGGCCTCGGGCAGGATCCTCGGGCCTCCAGCTACGATCCTCGGGCCTTGGGCCAGGATCCTCGGTTCTCGAGCTAGGATCCTCGGGCCTCGGGCAGAATCCTCGGGCCTCGAGCTAGGATCCTCGGGCCTCGGGCCTCGCGCTTGGATTCTCGAGCCTCGGGCCTCGGGCCTCGGACTAGGATCCTCAGCTAGGTCTGGATCTAGCTCCCCCTACCCCAGCCTTCGTGGTATTTTATGACCCTTTTCGCGAGTCATTGACGTAATTTGTAATGACCTTCAGTTCATAGCCACTTCATGATCCAGACCTAAGTCGTAATCACTTGAGGTGATATTTCTGTGCTTTATCCCTGTTTCCATGCAGTACACCTCGCTTGATTTCGTGCTTGGAGACACTTCTGTTTTTAGAAATCTTAGAATGTTGAGCAAACTGTGACTGAAGCGGTCTCACATAAAGGGTATTGGTCTGAACAAGCATTTTTGAGCTTGGACACAGATTTCGAAACAGAAACGTGGGTGACTCTTGCCGGCGGGAACGGTTGGAACGAGTCGC